TATTGGGCCGTAAAACATTTGCAGAACATCGGACGAATATCTTGCGGCTGCCATCTCGGCGTATATACTTGTGCAGATACTTCTTCAATAGGAAATATTTCTGTGACACTTCTTGTTACACGCGTGACCCTTCTTATCGCATGACGCCGATGCTTCGGAATCGGAACAATACCCTGCTGACCCTGCATATCCGATCCGCCCTTTTTTTCATGTTGTGTTACACACACACACATAGAGACTACTGGTTCTGTGCACAGCATGTGTAAACAGAACTGTTTTCAGCTGCTGAAACGACTCCCACCGTTAAAACCGGGTGGGGTGGGTGGGATTTACACATGCTGTCACAGAATCAGTAGTCTCTATGTGTGTGAATTAATGCAAGCATTCGCCAAGACAGCTACCTTTTTGTATTGGAGTAAGTGATCAGAAATTTCTAGAACAGTTTGAAGAACGATGTGACATTGTGCTTTTGAAAGATAAACAATTAAAAAAGAATAATTGTTGTCTTCTCCAAGACCCTTGTAATAATCTGCCATATTTTGACAAAGGGGCTAATTAAATATTGTTTAATTTTGTCTTTGTCAACAAGACTGAGCGACTTTGGACAATTATCATTTTGGACGGAACAGGATTTCACAATGTCCTGTTAACAATTATTAATAAATATTCTAATTTGAATAACAGAAATGATGCAAAGTTCCGAGATCAAGAGCTCTCTTTTATAGATTCGATTCTCGGAAGTTGGTTACAGATTCTAAGAAATCTTTTGTTACGCAAGCTTTCCGAGAACAAAGAAAGGGTAATCCTTTTCATTGCGACAGATTAAATTATTCGCCGTTGTAACATTTTGCTATTCGTTTTTTAATCCGGTATAAACAGCCTCGTGGTTCTTACGGTTTGACAGACCGTTAATTGGGTTCATTTCATTGTCAGAATACGGTCCTATATGACACTTTAAAAACGGTTTGACAATTCGATTTGGACTGTTAAACGAACTGATAACCGTCTTGTTTACAGTCTGTCAGACTTACGGTCTGTATATATGTATGTACCATGTAGCGTTACGGAAAACTTTCTTTTCAAGCGTAACAGTATGTCCATATGGGAAGAGAATGTTTCCTATGTCAAGTCTTGAAAAGCAGCTGATTGCACTCGCCTAAAGGCGCGAGTGCAGAGGCTGTCTGACTCTTTCTTCCCTCCGCTCAAGTGACGTCTATTTTTCCGGTTTGCGGCTCAGATATTTCGGTCAGCAGCACGATTAAACATGGCGGCAGTTATCGGTAGTCCACGACGGTTTCAAGAACTTTTTACAAACATATCTTTGAAGTTTAATCGAGCAGAATCAGAAGATGTTGTGCAGTCGTTGAAAAGGAATTATGGAGGGAAATTTGATTTGCTCGATAATCAAGACTTGTTGTCAAGTTTGCAACTTTTATTGAAGCATGGATTTGTGTCTGACAACAAACTCACCCTGATCGAAAAGTTTGTTGCGCCGAAATCGAACCAGGAAGAACAGATCAAGGAAATTATCAAGAGTTTCAAGGAGTCTCGGGAGCAAGAAGTTGATTCAGGGAGGGAATTGCCAGGGCGACAAGATGAAATCAAGAAAATTACGAAAAAGCTTGAAACTAAAGGACAGTCGCTGGTTGTGAATTTGTTTGGATCGGCTGGAGTTGGTAAGACAACACTAGCAAGGAGAGTTTGTTCCGAATGGCAAGGAAAGTATTTTGTTTGTGATCTAAGAGAAGCTAAAGATATGAAGGCCATTTATCTCAACATGATGAGTTCCCTTGGACTAACTGTTCCCATCGGTTACGTTGATCAGAATTCTGTTGTTACAAAAATTCATGAGAACATTCAAGTGTTAAATCAGCCAGTTCTCTTCTTACTCGATAATGTTGAACAATTCACCGCTGGCCAAGGGAAGGAAGGCAAGAACTTGAAAACGGCTTTCGTGCAATTTCTAGTGAGTCTTTTAGAATTTGATGAGAAAGACAAGAAATTATCATTTAAACTGCTCTTAACATCCAGGACTCATTTGCAAGATGCCACAAAGGTGGACAATTTTGAAGTGAAGCCTCTTGAAAGTTCCTTTTCAGAGGAAATCCTGATTTCCAAGGGAATGGTTAATGTTAATACCCAGCAGAAGAATGAACTACTTAACATCTCCAAAGGAATACCACTTCTTTTGAAAGGTTTAGCAGCTATTTTGCGACAAGAAAGACAAGCTGCTGATGATCTCATTGCTGGGATTGAGAAAGGGAAAGGTGCCACTCCAAAGAAATCAAAATTGAGAGAAGATGCTAAGGGAAAGCCATTCAATTTTGAAGATGAAGGACTGGATATAGGCCAGTTTTCCACAATCAAAGAAATGTTCAATTCCCTTCCCACTGATAGCTTGAAAGTGTCTGCTGTATCAATTTCACTCTTCTGTGGTCCTTTCTCTGTTTCCACAGCTGCTAAGATCCTTGGCATCAGCCCAGAAAATCAGGCAGAGGCTCTAGCTCAGCTGGAGGGGCTGGTAACTAGTCAAATTATTTCTGTGGTCAATGAAGAAGCAAAGGAAGTGATGTATGACATTCACCCACTTTTAAGAAAATATGCTGTCAGTATCAAGGAAGAAGCAGAATTCCACATGGCGTACTTGGAAGCCAAGGAACGATTCCATCAGCACTTTATGACAAAGATGGAAAAGATTGCAAAACTGATAGAGCCTGAGTATGTTAGAGCATTCCAACTTTTTCAGACTGACAGAGCAAACTATGAGTTTACTGTTGAGATCTCCTTGGAGCCAGAATATTTCAGTGTTCCAGGAGAGTTTCGTGAGAATGCCTTGATTGCATGTCTTTTCAATGATATGCTGACTGAAGACAAACAAATCCAGCTGTTTCATTCCTGGGCTGAGATGTGTGAAGATGATGGACGGTCAGGTAGGGGCAAGCAGTCATACCTTTATGTCGTTATGTCTCAAAATGAACAATATTGGTGATTCAATAACTTTTATTTTTAGAGACCGTTTCTAGCTACAACTATTATTTTTATTGTCATTGTGGTTGTGATTGTCATTGTTTTATTGCCATTTTAAATTATTATTTTATCATGAACAGCAAGGCATTCTTATCCCCAAGAAAAATTTATTTTACAATATAGATTGGTCTTACAAGATTCGTATAGCTAGAAGGGGTTGGTAGGTGGGAGGGATTGGGGCTCTTAAATAAAAGTGGTAGGGATCGACAGATCAGGGAATAAATTGTTTTTTACCTGATGAAATTAGCTGGTACGTGGCTCTTGCAGAGTGCTACATCCTTGAATGACTGCTTTACCTTTTAGTGGTTACGCCTGTGGCTTGTTTCGAATTTTATGCCCTAATTTCAAGTTCATCCGCTAGTTCCTTGCTTTTGATATGCTGTCTACTGATTGACATCTAGAATTGAACTTAAGAGATGGTGCTCGGTAGAATAATATTTAATATTTGTAAAGGTGACGGTCTCGACTCGATACTCAATCTTTGATGGTTCCAAGAATTAATAATTGAGTTTTGAGGATCAAGTTTTCAGTTTTTAATACTTTGTATCAAGATAAACTCCCCTATCTATTGCAATATTTATATATGTTTGAACTGATGTCTTGGATTGGATTTGTATCACCCTGATTACTTTAAGTATCTCCCTGATTTTCCTGTATATAGCAAAAGGTGATGGGATCACCTACATAGTAACGACTTGTATGCAGTGATCTCCAGATTCAGAAATCAGGTTTGATCAGGAGCCCTGGTTTGAGTAGTAAAGACACCAGCAAATGTATGTGTACCTGCTCTAGGTTGACCTTCTTTTGAAAAAAGGGAAAAGAAATGAAATGATTAAGTCACTGTTTGGTTTATCATTATCCGTCTTACATGTGTTTGGTTTGTGTACAGGATCTCTATCCCGGGCGCAGTTAAAATGCTGGGAAGCTCGACAAGTGTTAGATGTTGATGGAACTGAGCAAGCATTTAAAGTGTTGAAGGAAGCGTCCTGTTCATTAGAGAAAGTTCAGGACAAATCAAGTGCATTCTTCAGGCTTAGCAAAGGACTTCTCTTGTATTCTGAGGGGGAAACCCACTGGAGGAAAAGAGACTACAAGAAAGCACTAGAAACATTGGAGTTATCGTTACAATTCACAGAACAACTCCTTAATGCTCATACCGATCTTGTAAGGTGTTACAATGCGATTGGAAATTGCCATTTCCACCTGCGCAAACCGGAGACAGCTCTTGACTTCTACGAAATAGCATACAACATGCAAAAGGAGTTGGCTGGTTCAGAGTACCACTTTGAAATTCCAATGTGCAAGAATCAAATCGGCACAGCGCATGAGGGTCAAGGAGACTATGAGAAGGCAGAGCAGTGGTACAGACAGGCACTGGAACTTTTGAAAGAACTCAAACTTTCAGGGTTTCATGACGAAGCTCACTTCTGTAGAAATCTTGCCAATGTTCTCATGTTTCAGAAGAAGTATCCAGAAGCAGTTGAACCTGCAGAAAGGGCTTACAACATAAGGATGAGGCTTTATGGGAATCACCCACTGACCGTGCGTAGCATTTTCCAGCGAGCAGTGCTTCAGGCCAACTTTGGAAAATTCGAGAAAGCCTTGGAATTGTTCCTTGAAGCATGGAAAATGGAGAAGTCGCTTGGTGCAGGAAACCATAGTGAAGTATGGCGAAAGATTATTACTGGTGTTGAGGACATGTATGACGAAACGGCGAAAGGAAGAAAGATGGAACGATTCATCCCATTTTTTCGTTCCAAAAAGGAACAATTTAGAAAGGATGCATTGGAATTTTGCCAGCATTTTTGGAATGAAGAAAAACGTTCTGGGCTTTTTAGTTTCACCGATTACAACAGAGAGATAATTGATGCATTATTGTACTTGGTTCGTGACAAGAAAGATAAGAATGAAACAGAAAAAGAGGCCTTGTGGTTCTATGAAGAGATGCAGGGTGCAAGTGAGGCAGAATTTCAAGAGGAGTTTGATCAGCAAACAGATTTGAGTGTGCTTAATGAGATGCTGAAAGAAAGAAGTTTGATCTTGGACAAAGTAATTAAACTTTGCGTTAACCTTACCGAGCATGAGAAACTCATGAAGCACCGAAACATCAAGTTGGCGCTGTACAAAAAAGTTCTTGTCAGACCAGACTTTGTCGGCGAGAAACACGATGGATACGACAAAGCGGCACTAAAAATCAAGGTAGAACAGCTGTACCGAAATTCTGGGGAGGAGGAATATATTCCAGAATTCCAAGAGAGCCTGTTGAGTACTTGGCAAACGCAGTGGGAAGAAGGGAAAGGTGGAGAGAAGTTGAAAGAGTTTGGTGTGGCAAGGGAAAGAACAATCACTGGAATCCTCCGGTTATGCAAGGACCTTGAGAAAGAGGAAATGTTCAGACGATATGGAAACGAAGCACTGAGCTTTTATGAGGACTTATGGGAGGTGAAGCAGGCTATGATGGAACCCTCTCAAATGAAACAGTTCCTCTTAAACGGCAAAAAGGTAGCTTCGTCTATTGGAGACCATGAAAGAGAGAACGTTTACGACAAGGCCTTACAGGTAGGTTTTCCTTACTTTATAAAGTTTGGTATATATGCAGGCTACATTTTATTCCGCTGAATCTGTAAACGGTTTTGTTTCTTAATTAGAGCATTTCTCTTGAATTATAGCTCTGCCAAGTGTGATGTTTTGTTGTCTACTGCTTCTGTACAAATGTACATGTAGGATATGCGAGATAAACCGTCTGAAGAGCGACGTTCAGACTACTTCGAGACTTTGCAATGTGCTGGTCAAGAAGGCATGGTTTAAGACTAAAAGTTGTTTTCTTGGTCATTAGAATGACTAGGGACCTAGCTTTCAGCTAAATACATGGCTAGTGTATTTTGAATTGCACCACTCTTTACTTTTTTCTTTTGTCGTCGTTGCAATAAAGCAACCGTCACTAATTAGCTAAATTCTGTAGGCTAAAAAGTGGTGTTTCTACGTAGTACCTGTGAAGGTTTTTATTGATGAATCAGGATCAATATAAACACGCTGTTTAACGAGTGAGAATGAAAAATTAAACGTTTAGTGTATTCCGCAAGTTACATACCTAACCAGTTACTTCTTGTTTTGTTCAGACCCTGGTAAGGACAGGGAAACATCCAGGGGCCACCTTGCGAACAAAAGGTAATTTATTTATGAATTCTAAAAACTATGTTTTAGAGCCCAATATTTTGAGCCTTCAATACGACTTCTTTTCTTTAGTAAAATTATTTACTTGTTTGAGTCATTTAGATTAAATTTCCTTGCGTGGGCATGGATTATTCACGGGTGGAGCATCTCACTATACTTTTAAGTTTATTGGATTTCTTATTTCTAGTGCTTTTTGATATTCCTTAGCCAAACAACCTACTTCTAAATCAGCTGAGGAAGAGGAAGAAGAAGAGGAGGTTGTGGTAGAATCTGAAGAGGAGATTACAGTTGGATCTGAGGAGGAGGCTGAAGACGCATCTCAAGAGGACATTGTGGTTGACTCTGGGGAAGATGTTATCGGGTCTGGAGAGGAGAGTGAATTCGAATCTGAGGACGCACCAGACGTCGGAGCTGAGGCAACTGAAACAGAAGACATTAGCTTGATCCTCGAGTAAGTTTCTTTTTGTCTGACAATATTGGATAGCCTTATTTCTGTGCACAGTTTACTTGTGTATGTACGTAACTGTACGAGAAGGGTGTTTTTCTATCAGTGCCAAAAGCTACTGAGTTCTGCCGGACTTATCCTAGCAGTATTCGGGATGGTTGACGTATTTGAGACTAATTTAACAGCTCAGCTCCTACGAATGTCCTGTGGCTCAGTGAAATAACTCTGATCGTTCTTTGAGTAATAAATAATACATTTAACTTTGATTACAACTGATATGACGAATAGTTTCGTATAAAAGAACTTGTAAATGGGCTTAAAGCTAACAATTCCGAATTTCAAATGCCCAAGAACTCACGGATAGGAATATTTTCGCTTTACTGTGGTATTTTTTGTGCAGTTAACACACTCTTGTCAGTCTCGAAGAAAATTTACTTTGATTAATTTGTATTTTAGATTCAAATTTTAGCTACCAACTACGTTTTGACATGATTTTCTAATTCAATAGTAGGTAGAGCAAAAACGTTCAACCTTGTAAAGAAGAAACCTTCAGTTTTTGGTATTTCCGATCCGTAGATCAGCGGTTCTGTTTAAAAATGTGCACCTTTCCAACTGACATATGTATTGTAAAGAACAATGCTCGACTGCAGATCATTGGCAAGACTCATTGTCAAGTTTGTTGTTGTTTTTTTCAGAGACACTGTATCTAAACAAGGCAGCCACTGGGAGCCCAAAAAGGTGGCGGCACACGTGATATTTCCACCTTATGCTGTGTCTGAGGACAGGCTGATGGCCCTCCATAAATGGAAGTCTTCAGCATGTTCCCCTTCTCTCCAAGAAAATGAAGCCATAGTTAGCGATGTGGTTGAACTATCAACTGGCATTTCTGAAGGACTTGCATTCAATAAGGAAGTCACCTTGGCCATCTCTCACAGTGCGTCTGACCTTAAGGGATATGAGGTGGTAGTGAAGAAGTTGATCGACAAGGACACCAATGAGTGGGTGGACGTCGATGAAACAGTTGATTTTCGATCTCTGTCAGGTAAAGGCTGCTCTTGAGTAACAAGGCATGTGCCTGTAAGATCATCACCTTAGGAAAAGTAGCAGGCAGTATTTCCTGCAAAATGTTGTTTCCTAATCCATCTAAATCTTTAATCTAATTCCCTTTCGACACCTTTTCAACCTTAATTAACTATCATTTGCTTTCATAATAGAATTAGTGAAATATCTCAGACAATTTAATACTGCACAAATTATATTTAGATAGGCAGAACGTTTTAAAAGAATTGTTTACTCAGAAAGCAGTACTTAACACCAACCAGGTGATAAGACCTGACGCACGAAGGTTATGAGGGGGAAAATTGAGCAGAACGTGTAGTGACGAACTTTCAAAGTCATATCTTTGCGACCTTTACCATATTGTAGCTTCTTAAGACAGTTGAAAGTTTATATTTGTACTGTTTTGAAAGATTCTGATATCTTAGTATGGTCATATTTGTGGCGTTACTAAGTGTTCGTTTACACATAATTTGTTTCAGACCTCGAGCAAGCTTATGGCAGTAATTTTCCTGACTATCTCCTTCCTGTTGCTGAGACTAAGATTACTCAGTGCTCCACTTTTGTGGTGGTTTGCCGTCTCAAGTCTTATATGTTCACCGTTACCTCTGAGTCAACAAGCCTTTCCTTGCCCGACTATCCCCTAGTCAAGGTTATCATTCCCGAAAATGCTGTTCATGTAAAAGAACAACTCCAGGTTACTGTCAAGGTACGTGTTTGTTTTTAATAAACAACTCGTGGTGAAGAACTTTCAATTGGGCTTAAGTGCAGTTAGGATTTCACCGACGACCAGCTCCCGTCTGAGAAGGCAAACGGGAACGAAAAACGCAAACATGTTAATCAGGGTCGTAGCCAGAAGAAAAATTATATGACGGAGGCGATGTCCATGGATAAATTCGCTTCCTAGGTATTAAGGGGACGTTTATGATGACTACAATGAAACACAAAACAGGTATCACGCAAGGAAAAAGAGACTGAGGCAATTGCCTCGGTTCGCCTGTTACTACCCACGGCCCTATTGAGCGCTTTTACAACTGAAACAAAGCGTTGTGTACATGTGAGGTGATATTTGTGCTCGTCCTCTTGCACACTTAGCAACTTTAGAAAAAAATGAGGAACTGCACCTAGCGTAATATTTTCTGAACAATAGCATCGTTAAGAAACCGACAATCGTCAAAGTTGCAAACTTGTTCCTAACTTTGAACAAAGGGTATAAACTGGCGAAAATTAGCTACATGTACTCGTCCACTCGACTAAACCTATTGTACTTAGTGATATTCAGTCTATCTTACAGCGGTGACCGTTGCATTACTGTACATATATTATAGGTGTCTCGGTAAGCAGGCTGGCAAACAAAGTCCGCGTTTGAACCCAGCAGTCCGCGCCCTTCTGTGGTTACTAAAAATCATTCTACTGCTCCCTGTCTGTCTGTCTGTCTGTCTGTCTGTCTATCCGCCTGTCTACCTGTCTGTCTGGTTCAATTTTCGGTATCCATTTATACGCTTGCATGGATGGAGAGAGGCACTGTGAGATGAAAATGTCTTGTCCAAAAACGCAACTCAGTGAACCCAGCCAGGGCTCAAATCCAGACCGTTGTATCCAGAGTCCAGCACACTAACTATCCGGCCATTTGGTCTCCCGCGTATTTCGAATGACGTCTGTTAAGTAATTTGTTGCGTTTCCTGTTTTCTATCTATTTTATTTTTACTTATTTTTTGCGTTAGGTACAAGAGTTTCCCAGCAAAGAAATAAAACGAAAGGAAGTGTTGGCTGGGCCCATCCTTAGAATTTCGTGTGACAGAGAAGTTGAGTTTCAGGAACCGGTAACTCTTCAGCTACCTTTGTCTTTGAGAGAAAGGTCAGACTTCCCTGATTCGTCGCTGGTCCTCGCTAGGGTCTTATTTCAACAGTCTGATGGCGAACATCGTCAGTGGACTGAAATTACAGATAGCCTGGAACTTCCTCCCAGTTTTGATGGAACTGTCATTAAATTCAGTATCAGACACTTCTCAGGGTATGCTAAAGCTGCAGTTTTGTGTGTGTTATTGTGTTTATTTTACACGTGTTGGATGGTACAACTTTGTTCCCATACCATATTTTATCGAGTAAAGGGCAAGCCTTTCTTGTGTTACTTAGGGTTACTCACTAAACACAGTCATTCGAAACTCAAACGATACGACTCGAAACGCGATACTCGACGTTTTCCAGTTTCGAGGATCGAGGATCGAGTAGAGTCGTTCGAGTTGCGAGTGATTACCAGCTTATATTAGACGGTACTGCAATAATAGTGAGTTCTGACAATGGCTTGGAGTCCGACACATGTCCTATACACACATCATTGGGACGGTGTAGTACTCATGCAAAGATTATGCTCCATATGTGAGATAGATATATGAGAGTGGCAAAGGGGTGGGGGAGGGGGGTACCAACTGAATCACGCATCTCGCTGAATTTTTCTATAGAACCACGCATTTTGGATAATTTAATCACCAATAATTAATCACTAATCATGGTCACGTAAAAAAAAAGGTAAGCACATCGTCAATTTTACTTTCTCGACCCTAAAAGCGTCGCTAAAAAGAAAACCCTGCCGATTCAACCACAGGAAGATATTGACAAATTTTCAAACTTTTTCCCTCCGAAAATGACAATTATTGGCCAAAATAAAAGTGGTGACCCGTACGGGGAGGTTAGCCGGTGGGAATTTTCCCTCTCCAGACCACTTTCGGCAACCTCCACGCGCCTGGTTTTTCCTTTCCCTATAACACAATCGGGAACCTGTTCACAAGCCAAGTTGGCAGAGATGTTGTATACGAATGGATAAGACGTCTACGTCACTTTTGTCATGCTTTAATACACAGGCAGTATTTGTGTCAAAACTTTATCCCGGCAAATCTTCTTCTGAACGGCAGCATTCTTAGGTCTGTGAATGACATAACATGGCGTTTGAATTCAGTTAGGTCTTTATGCTGACGTTCATTAAGTATGTATGAAGAGATATTTATGCCAGGCTTCGCAGAACACAAAGAGAAATGCATTTATCAGTCTCGCGCTTTACTCGAAGATGCATCAAGTAGATTGGATAGGAATTAGACGTGCTCAATCTGCCAAGTTCTCACAGTGCACTCAAAACGATTCGTCCGTTCAACATTCCATTTCTCTGTTTCCTGTCATCCATTGCTTACATTCTTTGTTCTCGCGCATTGCTTTGGTTCTCTTACGTTTCGAAAAATTAAGAGAAAATGTTCACTGGAAGAGGGTGTAGCACCATTTTTGCATTACGTGGTGCCTTTTGCTCCCATACAAAATAATTTTTTCCTTATTTTTGTTTATGTTTACAGATTTTGGAGCTGGCTCGAGTGGTGCGCAACATCAGTCGTTCAGTTTGTAGCTGGTGATTACAACACAGAATGTGTCAGACACGCAGTAGTTTTTACTGCCTCTCTTCCAGTAGACACTCGCATTGGGTCTAAAACAGAGCTGAGCCTTTATTGCAGTCCTAATGACAAGAGAAGGGAGCTAATTGACAATGAGGATGGGCTCTTGCTGCAAGAGGAAAGTGCATGGGAATTCATGCAGCCGAATGATAAAGCCTATGTATTCCTCTCAGAAGGTGTTGTCAGACCAGTCAATCTGGAAAATGGCAGAGACTTTTTCGTCAGGTGAGGCACTGGAGCGTGAATGTCTATGGAGCGTCGGAAGATATTGACTAAAGCTAAATGTATTCAGGAGGCAGAAGTATTTGATTATGGAAACTAAACTGTATACGCTATCTGTTATTCCACAAACTTTTCCATTGTGTTGGATCAGTGTTGTAATCGCTGTTGTAAATCCAAAACGAAAACATTTGCTGTTTGGTTAATGAAACTCGATAGAGCGACCTTTAAAACTCCTTCTAGTGATCAAACAAATCAATATTTGTTAAGCTTAGTGGGTTTAGAGTTCCGTACGCTAGCATGCTTCTTTGAATAATTTTTTTCTTCTTTTTTTTTTTTTTTAGAGACTGAAGTTAAAAAAGAGTCAACCTCCTCGCTTCTACGACGACTTTTTCTCAAACGTCACTCTGGGGANTAAAATTCTCGTCCAGAATTAGAAAACAGTGAGCTGGACCCCCTTAATAGAGGAATTACAAGCAGTCCCTTCATTTGCCGAAATTAAATCTTTCCTTGAAGGTTTTTTTTTTTTTTTTTTTTAACCTTTCCAACCTTCAGCTTAGCGTTGGCAAGGTAACGGATAGTGACCTCCATGTATGTTTCTTATTGCCACTGTTGATATCAATATTCGATTATAAAAAATGGTCCAATAATACGGAAGAACCTTTAAAGAACACTGCAACAGTTAAACAGTTTCTAAGCTGTCCTATTTTGACTGACGTTACTCTAACAGGTTTCAAGAACGCGGTTCCATGAAGAGAACTCTTAAAGTGTTCGTTGTCGCCCACGGAGACCTAACAGTCAAGTTTTGTAGTAGCCAACAACTGGAAGAAGAACATTTGTTGTGTAGACTGGAAATGGAACTACCTCCCCCTGCAAGAGATACAGAGGTAAAATCTCGAGAGGGTTTTTTAATGATTAACTGATCGATTGATTGATTGATGGATTGTCATGTTATATTACTACAGATCACCGATGGCGTCAAAATGTGGCAGGAACATCAGTGGCACAGTTGCCTAATGCCTCGTGTGCCACCTTTTTTTTAACTCCTACCACATTTCGACGTCATCTGTGATCTATTACTGAACAGACGCAAGGAAAAATGGAATTTATTTGTTAAAAATAAATACGTTTTTTAGCTAATCAGCGAGCGTTTTTTTTCCTCTGGGCCTATTTTCCAATTAGTTATAACTGAAGGGAGAGAGCTTGTCTCTGAGCAGTGATGACAATTTAGACATTAAACGATCATAAACTCTCCAATGTCTGCAGCCCAATTCAATTCAAGTTGATGCAATAGTTTCAGTTGGCGACCAGTACCAGTTTATGAAACATTTAACTACTGTCCTGTTAGTAAAAAGCTTTTAAACCACTGATGGCATACCTTGTTTTACAGAAAACTCCTGTAGAGTTCTTTGGTGTGCCTTTAGATGATAGTGACCTTACCGACGCCCCTTTGACGGATATGCTAGCGGCATGCAAGGGTGTCTTACAGGAAATAAACCGTGGCGACATTTATGAACGTCATATTACGGGAAGCTCCGACCGCGCTTCGGTAACGCGTTTCTTCGAGGCTCTTGCAAGACTGCCGCCGGAGGATCAATCAAAGTGTTTCAATACAATTGTCGAATTTCTGAAAGGGAGAGGTTTAGGGTTGGAGCATGTCGCAGATCGTCTCCTTAAAGGTAAACGCAATTATTTTAGCGTGTTAAAATTGAGATGAAGATAGAAAATGCACGCAAACAATTCCGCGCGTTATTTAACCTCAAGGGAACACGAGGATGAATTAGGGAAACTTTTTTGCCATTGCGTTTCCATGAAAGTAACACATGTTTCAGTAAGTATTCCTATTTAAGGATTCTTGTTAATCCGTCATGTATGAGGGTTTCTAGTTTTCTTTAATCGGTACATGTCTCTCACGGTCAGCTTATGTAAAACACAAAGTACTACTGTCACATTTTTCTCTTTGCAAAATGAATGCAAGAATGTGTGAAGTGATTACCGCATGCCGATCGTTTCAAAAGTTCGTGTCACGGCCTAACTATTTATTCCACCTTGGCATTTTAAAACCATGACTCTATTGTATATAAATCAAGAAAAATGCATATACCACACTATTTTCACAGCAGTAGAGGTATAGTTTGCATAGTGGACGTCACATCTCCACATACATATGTAATATGCGCTGTTGTTGGCTGATATTTTACCGTGACTACATTTGTACATTCAAAAGGCTTCTTTTCCCAAACCTTAATGCCATAAACTTATTATCTAGTCAGACTGGTTCAGATTACTACCAACACTACCTCTTTTACTCTCCTCCACCACCCCCCACTTCACTTGCTACACCTTCCCTGTGACATTCTTCCCTATCTCTTGTTCACATCATTCCACCGGACCTTGTCCACTTTCTCTAACATTTCCATCACTAGTTACTTCCTTGCTACCTTCCGCGCTCCCGATCGCACTCTCTTCATCTCCCTCGGTCACAAACTCCCTTCTCCGCCTCTCAGTTGACTCCAGCTACTTGCACTTTAGCTCTAATCCAAAATATATTTTCACCAGACTATCACGCCTAGACCTCACGTGAACAAATTAACTTATGTTGGTTGTTAATTAGCATTTTCTCTCATCAGCGGAAGCATTGGTAAGCATTTCCCCCGATGAACGCGTGTGCTCTTTGGTTGCTGAGAAACTAAAGATGGGTTCTCTATGGAAGAAACTTGCTAGCAAGTTAAAAGTCGCATGGGCTATCATGGAAAACATTCAAGAGGAAGAAAGAGGAGATGGCGAGGAATGTTGTCGTAAGTCGCTTAAAAGTTGGCGCGAAACCAATGGTTCACGGGCCACTGTTAGAGAACTCATGAGGTGTCTAACGGACATGGGCTATGGTACCATCAACTGGCATATAATGAAAGCACTTAACCTTGTCGTAAGAGAAAATATGCCTCAGTCAGTGAGATTATGACATCTAGATCTTTAAAAGGTATTGGTGATGGAGTTCTAATGGCATATAGTTAGAGAACGTATTCTTGGGGCAAAAAAATATACAGATATATCTATGCCTCATTCAGAAAGAGCGGGATGTGTTTAACCCTTTTAGCTCTAAATTGCAGGCTTTTCTTTTTTTCAGTTTAATGAATGGATCCCTGTATGCCATTTGTTGGCTATCGATCTGTCTATCTCAAAAATCGCATCAGCAAGTAACCACTGAGAAATTGATACTTTTGACAAACGATGGTTTGAAGGAAAAGTTCAAACCTTCCATGGTTGGTGAACTATATCATATACAGGGGGAAGGTTTCCCAAGTTTATGCTTTCAATGAATAGATCAATACCGGATCATTTTGGTGCTAACAGTTTCATCAAAATCGACCAAACGTGAAGCAGAAAGTGACGTCACACTTACTCAGACACTCACTAGATCATCTTCGTGTTCTTGGGCACATAGGGCCATGCATGGTGGGCCATGCATGGTGACGTTACAAGTTCACAGGTATTTTTTTTTTGTGGCGAAAGGGTTAAGCAACATGGGCTTCGCTAAGAGTGAAGTGGCTTATCATGAGAGTACCTAATCTTTTCGTGACAGAAAATTTGCCAAGGTGAGATATGATACGACAGGCCTTTTGATAAACAAGCTCATGACTATACTTCTAATGCAAAGCTTTCCCGGGGTATACCGTGTAATATCTTACGAGTCACTTATATTTTCGCTGTATACTCACGAAACTTTCTATTTTATGACCTGCCATAGAAAACACAGTTGTCAAAACAATTAATGCGACACACGCGCAGCGTACGATGGGAACGTCGAATGTAATAACGTGGACAATATCATGGGTGACAAATTACTCCTTAATTTTGGCTCGAAATTTCTGCGATAATTTATTGTGTCACATGTGAAATTGCAAAATTGCCATGGCAACATTTGGGGCGAAATTGCTCGATACAATTAACAAGTCAAAAAACAGCGGCTGTAGGCGTAATTTGTCTCCTATGATAGTCAAAGGTAGTCAAATGGTATACTCGTGAAAATAGGAAATAATTTCACATGCGTTTTGTCAAAGTTCTCATAAAAATTTTGACAAAACGCGCGTGAAATTTTTTCCTAATTTCACCGTCACCATTATGTTATCATTAACAAGTATCCTGTATTCTGATTAGCTGTATTTTCCGGTATAAAGAAGCATATTTTAATATTCCTTCGAAACTAAGTTTCTTTAAACTTCGGATTCATACCCCCACCGTGGTACAAGAGGGTGGGGTAGAGGGAACCCCTCTCGATTTTTGTTCTGTTAGGGCAGATTTAAATAAAATTTACATTGATTAGATAGCCCTGAACCTGCTCTACAAGATGATACCATTTTTGTTGGTTATAACGCCATATGACGTCAAATGACGTCATTTGGCCCGCCATCCTGGGTCCGCCATCTTGGATTTCGTCATTTTCTTTTTAAGTCAAGAAATAAAGGGAATTAACACAAATTAAAGCCACAATGCTTATGAAATTCATGAATTTCTGCAATTTGATGAAGAAAGCTGGAAAAAATACAGTTGATTTTTGGCCAGACCGACATGAAATTTGCTGGTTGCCATGGCAATGTCAAAAATGATAGACACACGATTTACATAGCAAAATTTTCTCGGAGAATGAAGGAACAGCTACTGACAGTCTCAGCTTCTGAGGCCCGGTTCAGACGTCGAATTTTACCTGTGCCGAACCTACTACCTATTTGGGTCGACCCAAATAATAAAATTCGGCAGTTGAGTCAAACGTCGAACCTAATTTAGTCGGACCTAATTGCAAAAATAAAAGAGGCACTGTTTCAAGCGACGGTTATTGCTGACCAAAATGACAAGAAAAATGCGAGAAAGACAAATTGTGGAAATGAAGAGCTTGTTTTTCTTGCGAGTGCGATCAAGGAGGGCAGAAGAAGGCGACTCCAGATGCAGTTAGCATTAAACTACTTATTTTCTCTCAAAAACATGACTGTTAACTGCCTGCTTTCCAACCTGCTACACTCACATTGTTTTTCATGAAATACGGCTGACACCGCATACAGAAGTGGTTTATGCACTTCAAGCAAGTACATTTCGTGCTCTCGAAGCAAGAGGAAGACACATCTAGATCTTCCCGCCATTTTGTTCCAAAGAGATCACAACAAGCTGTGTGCGCATGAAAAAAATAGGAAACGTGAATAACTCTGGGTAAAAATTGATTTATTTAATATATTTGTCATGTATGCATTAGATTCGGCACATGCAAAAGTTCGACGTATGAACTGAAGTCGATCTTTTGCCGTTCTTTTCGAAAAGCCCGGTCGAATAGAACGGTAGGTCGACCCAAACACAAATCTGTCGAACCTAATAGATTCTAATTGTGCCGAATCTAATTATTAGATTCGGCACATGTAAGGTTCGACGTTTGTACTCCTTGTACGTCCGGGGGTTAAAGTACTTAAATAAATTCTATTTTCTTTGGAATATATTTGCTCCTGTCTGTTAGCTTTTTCACATTTCAAATGTTTTATTTCTCTAAATTGTTGCATGAAAGTTCATCGTTCGAGATGCTTACCTGCAAGACCGTCTTTAAAGTAGGCTGACTAAATTTGCATTCTCTATTTCAGAAACGAGCGAAAAATCTGGGGCGAGTTTCATCTCGCAGTTGCTTGTGGGGTGGCTACCAGGGAACAAAATTTTTGTTTTTTAACTTTTTGTCTCTACATAGTAACAGTTCACAAGCGACTAAGACATAAGACTCGCTCCTGATTTCCGCTCGGTTCTAAAGTGGCGAATGTTGGAGAGGTCTGAGTCCGACGCGCCAATTTATTTTGCGCCCAATAAAATATGCCAAGAAATCTTCGACAGATTTTAAAACACCTACAAAGTCCAGTCCCAAAACTGGATTAGAATATTTTTGTTTCGTTGTGTTTTTTAATAGTTTTGAATTTATATTAAATTATCATATGATTTTATTCTCCACATCAGGACTTAGCGTCTTGCCAATTTTGATCTGCAACCTGCTTTATCAAATAAATTATGTATGTAGGTAGGTAGGTAGGTAGGTAGGTAAGTAGGTAGGTAGGTAGGTAGGTAGGTAGGTAGGTAGGTAGGTAGGTAGGTAGGTAGGTATGTATGTATGTTTAAAAAACAAAAAAAAAACAAAAAAACAAAAACAAAAAGGTAAATTGTGCATATTAACAGAATGTTGTATTTTTGCCGTAGGAAAAAAAGTTATGAGGAGTTACTAATTTAGTTTTAATTTAATTATTCACTCGAACGAAAACTTTCAAGTCCAAAGTGAGTTTTTATTCTCCTAAGAGTTGAAATGTTGGCGTAGTTTAATATTCAGCTCTATAAGCTTTAATTTGATATAGGGGTTTAGGTATCGACAATTTAAACCGGGAGCGCTACATTGCTTGGACGCGACACACCTCTAAAAATTAAAGGTATATAAAAACTTAAGAGAGGTTTACCAAATGTTCTTTTATTGTGGAGCTTGTGAGTTAAAAAAAGGTTAATTACTTTCCAGCACGACAGACAGATTTCAAGTACAACAGTGGACGTTCGTCGATCAATATTCGTGGGTAGCCGTCGGGTTTTACTCTCCGACATCATAGATTTTTAATACTTGCCAGCTCATAGAGTTTTGGCGGCAATCAGTTTCAGCGTTTGCTGTTATGTAACCTCGAAGTGAGCAATAACAGCACGTTTTGCTGAGTTTAGGTAGTTCAAGTTCCCTAATATATATTGGCACAGAATGTCCTAAACTGCTCAGGGAATTCCCTAACTTGACTCTAAATGCTTTAGAAAGATCGACAGAAATTAGACACGCTCGTTTTTCGACCTTTCTGGGTCATGCAGTCTTGTTCCCTTGAAATATATGTCTGGATTTATGAAAACGGTGTTAAAGGCAGCATCAAGTGTTTTTTGATTTATTTGTTTTTTTAATGTTTTTTTTTTTTCTGCTTTTGCTATGACAGCAGCTTGTAAATCTTACCTAGCATGAAATGTAGAATCTCCTTGCCGCATGTTTCATTTATTTAGGTATTTTTTTCATTATTTATCAACCTCCCCTCCTCCCCTTTTTCAATTTGCGTTAAGTTTAGCCCAGGCTACACTCGTCTGAATTCAGTTCGCGCGGTGACTCTGACAAGGAGCGACCGATTAGCGTTCTGTA